GATGGACATTTGCTGTTACTAAGCAGACATGTAAGTTTTCCTGTTTAATTATTAAACTCAGGCTTGTGTTATTTACTAAAATAATTTAATGAGTCAAAAGAGCTTTTTTAGTAGTTGCGGTATATAGGAAGTGTAAAAATGCATCAAATAATTTTTTGCTTTTGATATTGTTATAATTATATATACAACATCACAGACACTAGAAAAATAAGTTGTTGCTTATTTATGAATTTTTAAAAAATCTCAGCATGGCTTCAGTGTCATCTCAAAAGAAAACAGAACCCCAAAAGAGAAAAATCGTGATGGAGTGTTCAATGAAAGATGGACAGATGAGGGGCTGGGGATTTAGCTCAGTGGCACACAGCCTGCCTGGCAAGGGCAAAACAAAACAAAACAAACAAAAACAAACCAACAAACAAAAAATGGACAGATGAGTACTTCTTTGTTAAGACAAATGACAAGGTGCTATGCTTAATTTGTATGAAAATTGTGTCAGTTCTCAAAGATCGCAATCTGAAAAGATATTATATGCAAAAATAAGCCACTAAATCTGCTGGCTGACAAAGAATGTAAAGAATGGTAAAGACAAAATAGCTGTGAACCAAAAAAGCTTATAATCTCAACACATTTTTAGCAAAGTTTTCTATTATACAAGCTAGTTAGAAGATCAACATCATTTATCAATGGCGAATTTACTAAGCAATGTGTGCAAAGCATGGGATCTGCAATGTGTCTGAATAAAAAAATGGCTTTTTCTAACATCAGTTTGTCTCACCAAACTACAGCCAGGGTATTAAAGAAACAGAAAAATCTATTAAAAGAGATTTGGAGAGTACAGCTGTGAGTGTCAAATTTTACACTTTGGTGACAGATGAAAATATTGATGCTCGGGAGTGGCTCAGGTTGCCATTCTCATAGAGATACTGATAATGGATACAATGTAGCTGAAGAAATGGTGTCTTAGTCACTTTCCTTGTCACTGTCACAAAATAACTAATGCCTGCAACTTCAAGGAGGAGAGGTTTACTTGGGCTCGCATTTCTTTGAGGTTTCAATCTACAGTTTGCTGTCTCCAAGGCAGAAAAGCAGAGGGCCGTGAGGAGGAAGGCTGCTTGTGTCACGGTAGCAGGGAAGCAGAGAGCGTCCAGGGAGGAGCTGGGAAGGGACATGAACCCTTCTGAGTCACATACAAAGTGACCAGATCCCATCTCCTAGGAAACGTAAGTAGCCATTATTTCTGGGGGACCTAGAGCTGAAAGGCTAAGAAAGGCTCTTTTCTCAAAGAAGTTAGTTCCTTAGTTGGTTTTCTTTCACTTATTCACGGTATCTATCTTCTATCTATCTATCTATCTATCTATCTATCTATCTATCTCTCTACCTATCTAATTGTTAATCCTAACTGCTCTGTAATCCAATCAGCTTCCAAAAGTCCCACTTAGGAGCACATGAGGCTTTGGGGGGACATCTAGATATAAACCACCACAAACAGCTTTTTTCATGCCATTAAGACACAGCTAAATGTCATGAATTTTAGGAAGCGGTGAAAAATCACATTAAAGCAATTTTCTTTAACTTTTGTCACATATTAACATACCTGGTGTCGCTTTTAATGGTGTGCTAATGATAGTTGGTTAAAAACAAAGGGGATCTATAAAATCAGTAGATGATGATGCAATTACTGCTAGAATTCACATTTGATGAAATATTGCTGCATAATACATCAAGAAAATTCATGTGTGGAAGCCTTAAAAATGGATAATGCCTTGCAAATCGTCATCAAAGCTATGAATTTTATAGGGTCCAAGGGACTGAATCATCAATTTCAGGAGTTCCTTAAAGTATGGATACTAATTATAGGGATATCATTTACTTTTCTGAAGTAAGATGGCTAAATTGAGGCAAAATGTTGAAAAGATTTTATGATTTGAGAGATGAAATCAAGTCATTTATGGACTGAAAAGGAAAATTTGTGCCAACCCTTGAAGATGAAAAGTGGTTTGTAGATTTAGCATTTTTGGTGGATTTGATTGCTCATTTAAGTGACTTAAGCAGGTGTCTTCAAGGTGAAAATTAACATATCTGTGCTATGTTTGAAAATGCAACAGCTTTCAAAATAAAACTTAACTTATAGCAAGCTTAGGTTATGGCAAATAGTTTTGTGTTAGATACCGCTGGTCTTGCTACACCCATCAGTTAGCTAACTTTCCATTACTGTAACAAAATACCTGAGATAAACAGCCTAAAAGTAGCAAAGTTACATTCTGGCTTGCAGTGTTGGAGGTTTTTGGATACATTGCTCTTGAGCCTGTGTTGAGGCATCACGTCATGGTGGGAGTACATTGTGGGAAGGCCCACACTTCATGGCCAGAAGCCAAGAAGAGAGGAAGGGACCCATAATCTCCTTCAAGGAACATCTCCAAAGACCTAACTCCTCCCGCTGGACCCCATTTCTTCCACCATCTTCTATTAGCATCAAACTGGACCCTAAATCTTACCACACAGGCCTGGGGGGACTTTCCAGATGTAAAGTATAGCACCATCATAAATTGGAAATATTATAAGCTAAAAATGCACATAAGACACCTAACCTACCAGTCATCATAGCAACTTAGCAACATAGTACACAGAACATGGGTTGTTTCCCCTGGGGAGCTTGTGGCTGACTAGGAGCTGTGGCTCACACTGCTCAGGGTTGCCAGAGAGTATCACACTCCACATGTTGCTGGCCAGGGAAAGGATCAAAGTTAAACATTTGAAGTAAAGTTTCAACTGAATGTCTATTGCCTTTGCACCATTGTAAAGCCAAAAAATCACAGTGGAATGAATTACCCTAAGTCAGGGCGCCTTAGTAGTTGGTAGCAATCATTGCTATGTAGGTCAGCAGCAGGGATGGGGAGCCCTGGGCTGCAGCTGTGGCCCTCTGCCCTCTCCACCTGCCCTCTCCAGGGTCCATGCCTGCCTCTTCCAGTTCTCACAGAAGTCAGGCCAGCCTGGGCCCCAGGGATCAGGGAAGTGCCACCACGGGGCAGGAGAGAACAGGGCTCTCAGCTCAGGAAACAGTTTCCTACCCAAAGCTGAGAATTGAGAATTCTTCTGGGGCTGGGTGGGAATGAGCTTCCCAGCCCACAGAGGCCCGCAGGGAGCATCTCAGAGGCAGAGGTGAGAGGCCCAAAGCTGCCAGCTCCACAACCCTGGGGACGCTGTGGGAAGCTACTTCAATGAGAGGGACAGAATGCCAAGAACTCAGAGTCAAAGAGATCCTCGAGTTCCCAGCCTTTTAGGGTTGTGTTTCCACTGTGGGGTGCAGTTGAAAGGGTCTCTAATTGGTCACTTGCTCCTTGGCCTCAACATTTAGGGGTGGGGGTTTTCCTAGACATCTAGGGATAGCGGTCACACTCTAAGGGTGGCTACAGGGGTCACTGGTGGCTGGATTTCATAAGCTGTTAGCGGCTGCCAAGGGCAGGTTACAGCATGGGGATAGGGGCAATGGGTCCACCTCAAGTGACGGGGGACCAGTGGCACAAGGACCATGGGTGGCCTGGATGTATTTCGGCCCTAAGTATTCAGCCTTGGTCCCTGATGTGATCCCTATGTCTGCCTCAGTCCTCCTGTGGACTCCACCCTCGGCCTTACCTCTCATGGCCCCCAAAGCTGGTCAGGAACCGATTACTTCACACAAATCTTCTGAATTCCCTCTCCTGGATCGAACCCAGGGCCTTCGCACTGAGCTACATTCCCAGCCATTTTATTTTATTTTATTTTTTGAGACAGCATCTCGCTAAGTTGCTAAACTGCCTGCGTGGGCTGGGCTTGCACTTTCAACGCTCCTGCTTCGGCCTCTCAGAGTGCTGAGATTACAGGAATGCACCATCGTGCCTGGCTGACCTTTCTACTTCTTATGTGATTGGTACCAATTAATCTGCTATGTACTTAGATCAATAAGCACAACCTCCTAAAGGGAACTGATTTCCTTGGTGAAATCAAGGAATAGTATAGCCCACATATGCTGCCAGCCACAGGCCTTGCGATTGGTTCCTGAACTCAGGTGAGTTAGCCCAACTGAACCGAGCCAGTGGTGGTGGAAGTGTAGGTGAGGGTCTTCTAGGACGGGCACTGATGATGGTGATGATGATGATGATGATGTCTGTGGTACTAGGAACTGAACCCAGGACCTTCACACTGAGCTGCATCCAGCCCTTTTTTATTTTTAGTTTGAGACTGGGTCTTGCTAAGTGGCCCATGCTGACCTTGAACTTGCAGTCCTGCCTGAGCCTCCTGGAGGGATGGGGTTAGTCATGTGCCACCATGCCCTGCAAGGAAGTGACTTTGACAGTATGTCCAAGCTGAGCTTTGCAGAAGTCCAGGGAGCTGGTGACAGAGATGGGAGGGTGGCTGAAGAAGCTAAGAGGCCCTGAGGCTGCCGCCACAAGAGCTGGACCTCCAGGACACGCTGGATCAAAACCACCTTCCATTCCCAGCTCTCAGGGATGCCATGCTTTCTTATCTTGGATCTGCATGAGGCGCCTGGGATTTGTATGGGATTTGCCACTCCAGTTTTTCCTGGAGCTAGAGTCCCGATTGCCTGTAACCAGGAGGCCCTAGCTTGCCTCTGCTGAGGCCTTGGGGTGACACTCCCACTTCTGTCCCTTTCTTCCTCCATGAGATCGTCTGAGAAGTCTCATGGAGAGGGTGGACTCCCTGCACCCCCTCCCACGCTGTGTTGGTGACCCCAAGAGCAGTAGCTGCTGTCATGTTGTCCTTGAGAGAGACTGAGGGACTCCACACCTTGAGGTGACTGCTGGGGCTTCCTGCTTCTGGAACAGAGCAAAGGCCCTGCCACCTGGACCTCTTTTCCTGGCCTCTCTCTGCTAAGAACACCCCGAGCCCCACCCAGCTGTTTTCCTGCTGCCTCAGCTCTGCTCCTGGCCGGCCAGGCCGTTTTATCACCTCCTCACATCAGATGCAGGTCACAGCGCAGGGACCCGCTTCTCATCCTCGGATAGCAGCCGAAACCTTAAGATTTTTTTATTGGACAGTCTTGAATTGACTCCGATAGGCTGCACAAAAAACTTGTTTATGTTATCAATGAGCTTGGAGTACAGTTGCAGCAGCGGTTACAGCTGGAGACAGGTTAGAGGGACGATGGAGAGAAGAGAGAGGCTGGGGTCCTATAGGAGGCTCAAGGGAGGGGTCCCCAGAGCTGAGAGAGGCCAGAGTCCTGGGCCGGAAAGACAGGCTACTCCCTTCCTTCTGTGCTGGTCTTCAGCAGAGCGGCCTGAGGTATTCCTTGTCCAGCCAGCATTCTGGGCCACAGGGCTGGAAATTCCTGGATGCTGCTGAGTTTCAGGGACACCTGCTGGCGGACTTGCAAGACGGACGGCAGGCTTTGTGTTGAAGGGCAAGGTCCAGGCTCACATTTTCTAGGGGTGAAATTGCTTTCTCTCTCCAGACTTTAGAAGAAAGTCCTGTGGGGAAGAAGAAATGGACAAGGCAGGCGGAGGCCTGGTGGGTGACACAGTCCTGGGCGAGACCCCACACTGGGAGTCCCTGTCCTGGAAGCCCCAGGCCCTGCCCACCACACAGCCCGGAGCAGCTACACACCAGCCATAGCCACAGCACACAGGAGGCAGGGAGAAAGCAGAGAGGGCTCCCGGGAAGAGCGTGGAGGGGACTGAGAGGAAGAGGAGCAGAGATCTTTGGAAGAGCAAGTGACAGAAAACAGAGGGCCACTTCGGCCACCCCAGGAGCCATGGCTCAGGAGGCCAACTGTCCTGGGAGCTTAAAGCCTTGATGTTTTAGGAAACTTGTAAGAGAAAAGCCAACTTGCAAGAGTCCAGGTTTGGATCTGCCCCAGATGATGCCTGTGGGCTTCAGGCCACATACAACCCAGTTTCACGACCGCCCGGCACAGGGAGGGAACCACATCCCAAAGCTGAGCTCCGCAATGTGTCCCACAGATAGAGTCCCAGGCAAGGGAGGAAGAAGGCAGAGGACAGCTGGGGCTGAGGCCAGGACAGGGCAACACAGGACATGAGCAATGTGAACCCACTACTCCTGGTTCTTTGGACCAGCCTTACAGACCGTGTAACAGGGTCAGCTTTACCTAAGCCTGGGTCAGGTGGAGCAGGAGCTCCAACAGGGTGGCACCCATGGGAAAGGGAGGCACGTTTGGCTGAGGACACCCCTGGGGTAGCGGGAACATGCAGGTGGGACTCCTGTGGGCTTTCCCAGCCCAGCATGCTTGGCGTGAAGCACTGGTTCTGCCAGCAAACAATGGAGCTCAGGGCTCTCCCCGGCTCACTGGATGTCACGGTGGAGACCCAAGCCCATTCACAAGGGCTGTCAGAGCTGCATCCCAAGCCAGTAGGATGATGCCTCATGTTCCTGCCAGATGCCAGTCCAAAGAACCCGCCGGCAACGTGGGCAGCACGTGGCCACCACACGTGGCACGGGCGGATGGCTGCGGCCTCCTGCCTATTCACCGTGGGCTCCAGCTGCAGGAGAAACCCGTGTCTGTACACGGGAGAACCGGCTTCAAGGAGCTTTCGGACCGGCTGGGGGCTTTCGGCTGCAGAGGAGGGAAGAGAAGAGCTACATACACAGAACAGAGCAGGAAACAAAAAGAACGCCGTTACTCCTGGGCACAGCTCTGCCCGGCCTCTCCCTGCGCTTGCCTCCTGTCTTAGGTCCTGCCTAGGCCCTGGGGTCAACATCAGGGGCAAGACAGGTGGGGAAGTCGGGCTCCGCTGGGCAGGGGGAGTCAGCAGGCATGGCTGTGACAGACAGTGAGGGTGGGAGTGGTGGGTGGAGAGCCGGCGACAGAGACCCCAGCAGAGGCAGACAGACAGACAGACAGAGAGCAACAGAGAGATACAAACACATGCAGCATGCCAGGGGGGACGAAGTGGGGATTGAGAGCCAGGGGCAAGCAAAGCGGGGAGGGGGAGAGAGAGGGAGGGGGAGAGAGATGGGGGAAGCACAGGGACAGCTAGGGAGGGACTGGAGGGAGACAGGGAGGACAGAGAGACACAGACTGACACAGGCTATCTCAGGCCCAGGCCAAGGCTCCGTGGAGAGCCCAGTGTGGGGACAAGAGCCTGTGGCCTGGCTGTCTGGAGACACAGCAAGAGCGAACACAGTGAGACATCAGCAAGACCTTGCCAGGAGTGACATAGGGACACTGAAGTCGTTACCTGGCAGTGGTGCCAGGGATCAAGTTCTGAGTGGGGAATCAAGGATTGCGGAGTCTTTGTCCCAAATACGCTGTACTTGGTCTGAGACCTTGAGCTTCGGTTTCCCTACGTGACAGCCTTGGGGGTGACTCTGACACCACCTGGGGACAGTGATTGGTTCCGGGGCTTCTCTAGCCCAGAGTGTTCTAGGACCCTTGAATGCGAGCAGCAGTGGGCCTGAGCCATTCCTTGTGGCTGGGGGAGGCTGGGAGAAGGCGGCCAGGGTGCTGGGGGAGAAAGAGGCCAGGTGTCTGCACACTTACAGCTCATCATCGTACTCCTTGGGGGGGCAGACGGCAACCACGAGGTCGATCCAGTCCTGTGGGGAGAAGCCATGGGACTGCGGGGGCACACTCGGGTGGACGACACATCTGCCCTGAGGCTCCATGCCTTTCCCTGTGCCCACGGCTTGGACAGCCGGCTGTGCCTGCTTCCCTTGGGGAAGTGGACACACGTAGGGCTGGAGTCCTCCTGCCTGAGCTCTGGAGGACATTTCCAGACTCCAAGACTTCCCAGCCATAGAGATGTGAGCGCGAGGCCCCCAAGTAACGCTAGGAGCATCCTCAGGACCACCTGAGGGGATTTGGACAAGTCTCTTGGACCCGGTTCTGGGAAGTCTGGGATGGTCCTGGTGTTTCCAGCACGCTTCCCGGGTAATTCCGGGGCATGCCTCCTGGGGGATTCTGAGCTCGCTTTCTGATCCCAACACCTGAGTCCCCTCAGCGGCATCTCCGCCATCCTTGGCTTGCCAGTCGGCATCTGTCCTGGGCTTGCAGGTATCCCTGAAAGGTACCTGAAGTAGCACTGCCCATCTGCCATGCGACAGCTCCCAAAACTGAGCTGAAATCGCTCTCCCCAGAGCCACCCTCCATCCAATTCAGCTCTGCCCTCCAGAATCACAGAGAGCACTTCTGCTCCCTCTACTCCAAGGCAGCCCTTCAGATAATCAAAGACGGTCATCGTGTTACCCGTAAGTCTTCTCTTCTCCACATCCCTTCATGTGGGTCCCAGGCCCATCTGGTCAGCGTCCTCGGCACTGAACTTAATACCTCAGGCTCGGCTGCCTGCGTACAGTTACACAGGTTGTGCATTGCACAACATGAGTGGGCACCATTCGTGCTATGGTCTGTAGGAGGGCACCCCCTCAGATTGTGCAGTACACAGCCTGTGGGAGACCTTTCATGGTGGTCCTGACCCAGGTGGGCGTCTAATGCATACGGAGCTGGCTACCACCAGCCCCTCCTTCATCCTGGGCTCTCTACTTCTGTTAATGCTTTCCGGTGCCCCCCAGCACATGACTCCTACTCCGTGCGCGGGGTGCACGGCCATGGCCAGTGTGCCGGAGTTTGCGTTTGTGCCACTGCTATCAGATGTAGTCCACTGGCTGGATGAGGGGTATATGCCAGTTACTTGGAGGTTGTCTGGATCTTAGGTGCCCAACCTGGGATGAGGCACCCAACTTCGAGGCCTGGCTGCAGAGGCCAGGGGCTGAGGCAGGTAGGAGAAGAAGGCGAGGAGGGGACTCGGTCTTACCCCGCCTTGATTCCAGGCCTTCTGCAGGGCGGCCTCCGCCTCTGCCAGGGTGTAGTCCGTCACGATCTTGCCATTGATCGCCATGATCTCATCCCCCTTCACAATGCCACCTGTGGGAAAATGGAGCTGAGTGCCCAGCAGGGCTGCACGTGTGCCTGGCCTGGGGCTTGCAAGGGAGAGTCGCTGTGGGCGCAGGAGAGGCCAGCCTTGGGCTCCGAAAGCAGGAGGGAAGCACTGCCCCTAGTCAACCACAGTGCTTCCTCTCTGCCCTGTCCCCAGACCTTCCCCCCGGCTCGGTAGAATTGGGACACTTCACAAGGACTTGTGGCCGGAGCTCCTGCATGGGCCCTGATCACTACCGAGGGGACAGATCTGCATTTCCAGGAAGCTGACAAGAGACTCGAGCTAGTTCTCTAGCTGCACCTTTCCCAGGTGCCCGACCATGCTGTCCTGCTCAGGGTCTCTCCCGCTTGTCCCTGTCCACAGCCTTGCAGGCCATTCCTCCTAGAATGCCTTCTCTCTTTCTTCTTCTGGGTCTGAAAATTCCCTCCACAGGGAGGGCTTCTCTGATCCCATTTGATCAAAAGCAGCTCCTGCCGGGTGTGGTGGTGCATGCCTGTAATCTCTGTACTCGGGAGGCTGAGGCAGGAGGATTGTTAAGAGTTCGAGACCCACCTGGGCTACAAAGTGAGCTCAAGACCAGCCTGACCTGCGTAGCGAGACCCTGTCTCAAAAAAGACAAAAAAAAAAAAAAAGAAAGCAGCTCCTTCCGGTCTTCTCTCCCAGTGCCCTGGTCTCTTCCTGCGTGGCACATAATTTGTGCTCCGAACTGCATTTTAAAAACTTGTTACTGGTGGTGGTCTCCCCCACCATACGGTCAGTGCCACGATGGCAAGGATTGTCTTTCTGGTTCACTCCTTTATTCCCTGCATTTTACATAATGTCTGGCAAAAACCAGGAGCTCAGTAGGTATTTGTTGACTACGTGACTGGTGTTAAAAGGTGTCCCTGGATAAGCTGTCCTATGATCTTAACAATTTGGGGGAAGAATTCAATTATAAGCTAACCAGGAGTTGTCAGAGCCGTGAGTTCATGAATACATACCGTGGCTAAGTGGACAGATTGAACACGGTTTCCCATGCCTCTTTGACATCATGACCCTTTCTGAGGAATTTCTCCCAGTCCCGATGTCTGAACAACGCTGAAATAGCACCTCCATGAAGCCCATGGGAGGGTAGTATGTGCTACTGAAGATGGTGGCCGAGGCGTCTTAAAACGCAAGTGCTCCTTGGAACTTCCCCCAGCCACATGGATGTCCAAAGAGACTTGGGACCAGACTGCGGACAGCAGTGTCCTCTGGACGGAGGAACTGGGGCAGGTGACTTCCACTTTTTCTTTTTGTACAAATCCAAGATGGCGCCTCAGGGCCAAGAGGGCAGTGGGGAGGACCCGAAAGAGTCACCTGTCCTATTCTTCTCTCCCTGCCAGACAAGGAGACAGTTGGCCTCCCTGGGCCAAGCAGCAACGCCCCCTTGGAAGGCACAGAAATGAAGCCAGAGGAGGGCACGCAGCAGCAGTCAGCCATAGGAGCTGCGTCACTGGACAAGTGCCTCCTTCAGGTGACAGGGAGACTCAGAGGGTGTCGAGGGCATGGAGGCCACCGAGGTCACGGGTGGCAGAGCTGACCTGCAGCCTGGGTTCCCAGGGTGCACACCCACCTTGGTGACAGCAGAACCTGGCTACCAGCCACTGGGCGCCTCTCCCTTCGCCCCATCTCCTGCCTCAGGACACCCCCCTCCCAGCACCTCCATCCCTCCCCATGGCAGGGGTGACACCAGCCAGGGCTGCCCCAGGGGTCTGATCACAGGATTCCCACTCAAGCCTGGGAAGGGAAGGGCCAGGGGCTCCTCCTCTGTGGGTGCTTAAGAGCCCCTCAGATGTGGCAGAAGAAATCAGCAATGGCGGAGTTTCTGACACTGTCTGACAGGGGAAGGGGAGGAGCGTTTGAAGCAAGACACTGAGCCTGGCATCTGCAAAACGTCGCTCACCAGCAGGGACTGCTTTTGTTGAAAAAGGGACAAAGGAAAAGCCTTGAGAGAGACATAGGCCGTGGGGGTTTCTAGGAGGGGCAAGGCTGCCGAGGACCTCAGGCAGAGTGGCATTTGCGCCCGTAGGAAAGCCAAATGGCCAATCTGTCTGCATTCAAGTCCTGCCTCCACCTTTTATCAGCTGTGGGTGCTCAAAGAATTACTTTGACTTCTCTGTGCCTCAGTTTCCTAAGCTGCAAAATGGGAATAATTATAACATCTCCATTGGGGTTTGCTGGAAACACTTGGACTCAGGAGTGCATACATGCTGGGTACTTAGACTAGTACCAACACGTCCTTAGTTCTCCAGGCACTATCATCACCAAAGGATAGGTCGGATTTGGGTGGCTTCTCTCCTGCTTTTCTGTGTGCTGTTCCCTTCTGCAAAACCCTCTCTCCTTTTCACAAGGTTGGTACAGAGGTCTCCTCCCTCCCTCCCTCTTTTTTTCTTTTTCTTTTTTTTTTTTGTTTTGAGACAGGGTCTTGCTGTGCAGTTCAGGCTGGACTTGAACTATGTACCCCAGGCTGGTCTCAAACTCACGGCAATCCTCCTGCCTCAGCGCCATCCAAAATCTGGGATTAGAGGCATGTGCTGCCACAGCCGGCCTGCAATTCATCTTTTAGGGCTGGGCTCAGACACTGCCCTTCCAAGGGGCCTTCCCTTACCCGCCTCCCCTCCATGGGTCCTCAAAGCTGCTCTGTCCCTAGGTTCCTTGTCAGTCCTTTGTGCACAGTACAGTTAGGAAGTATCTGATTGTTCTGGGCATGTTTCTGCCACTAGCTTGGGAGCCCCTGGAGGGAGGTGTAGCATCTGGTGTGGCGGGGTACACACAGGACCTGGCACTGTGGCATGCCCCCAGGCAACATGCCAGATTGGATAGAGGGTGCGCTGGCTGCCCTGGATTTCCTGAGTAGCTGCCATCCTACTCCAAGTGGGCAGCTGTTTGCTTCCCAGGGGGACTTGTGCCACCATCACAGTGTCCCCTCACCAGGGCAGGGATGGACCCCGCTTACCATGCCGCTCAGCTGCTCCCCCCTCGTACACAGCCGAGACGACCACTTTTCCGATCGGGGAGTCCACACCGCCTTCCAGGGCCAGGTCTAAGGATCCCTCCTGGTTAGAGGAGACTGGGTCTTAGGGGCCAAGCAGACAGCAGCCTGTGGGCACCTGGGCACCAAGGAGCCTCTGAACAGTGCCACAGAGAGCAGGGGACGGTGAGGCCCTTGGGGAGAAAATGGGCCCTTGGGAGTAGGGGAAGGAGGCAGCCCAGGTGGCGGGGGCAGAGAAGGATGGCGGCCGGCCCCTCCTCCACCTTGTGCCCCGGTACCTTCTTGATGCGCAGGAGCCGAACGTCCTTCCCTATGATCTGCTCTGGGGTGAACTGGGAGGAAAAAAAGTCTGCTGAGGGGTGGGAGTGTCCCCAGGCCCTGGGGGACAGTGGACACTCACAGACAGATGGCCACACAGGTCCCAGATGCATTCTTCCAGGCTTATGTGAGGACCGGCCTTGCAAACACAGCACAATCCTGGCATGCAGTTGGCGCCACCCTCCCTCCCCATTCACTTCTCCCTCGAAGGCCATTTGGAAGGAGCCTTCCCAGGAAAGAGCTGCTGGGGTCTCCTGGGGCCCAGGGCCCAGAATTCACCAGCACCAAGAGCCCTGTAACACCCTCCACACACACATCCCCCCTTCCTGGGCTCACTCCTGCGGCAGGGCGTTATCTCTTACCATGGAGTAGGGGTCAAAGCCTTCCTCATATTTCCGGAAATCCTGGAAGGAAGCAAGGGAGGGCTTTAGGGCAGCAGAGCAGAGGCTCTCGTAGGCCAGGGCAGAAGAGGGAGAGCGCGAATGGGTCAGAGGTGGGGGAGGTGTGGCTGGGAGAGGGCACAGGGAGGAAGCTGGTGCCAAGAGCTAGAGCGCCCTGCTCAGGGCAGGGGGGAGGTGCCCAGCCCAGCCCCTGTATGGTCCAGTGGGTGGACAGGACGCTGCTGGTGTCTAAACCCTGGGAAGGCAGCCCCTGCCCTCCACAAAGTCCCACCCCTAATGTCAGCCTCTCAACCCTACCTCACCTCCTCCAAGTGCCCAACAAGCCATGCCAGGCCCTGCGGGGAAGCCACGCCCCTCCACCCAGTGCCCTGCCCCCGCCCTGGGCCGTATGGTCCTTTGGCAGAGGGAAGAGAACACAGCTATGGGCCCCTGGCTTAAGGAGATTGCTGTGGAGTCACTGCCCCCAAGATTTTAGAAACAAGGCAGTGGGGAGAAGGGACCAGAGCCAGGACACCGGCCCTCCCCAGAATCACAGGCAGAAGGCAGAGTGAGGGGCGTCACAGGCCGGAGGGCCGGGATGCTAAGACTGAGTGAGGACAGCAAAGCCAAGGTTCGTCCCCGCGGGAAGGTGGGAGCCAAGCAGGGAGGGCCCTGTGACAGCCTCACATGCACAGCAAGAGCGTGGGTCGCAGCAAGTATCCCTCAGAGCCTGTGATCAGTGTTCTAGGGAGGCTACAAGCAAAGCCCAGCATATAGTCCCCAAGCTCTGACACAAGAGGAAGGCCAAATATCAGCACATGGCTCCCTGGGCATCCTTCTGACACCCCTCCTCAGTACCCTTCACTCGCCGGGCTCAGCCCCACAGAGGTCTGGGCCTACATCCAGGTTGGGATGTGGGTGTCAAGTCACACGCTACAAATCCATGCGTGATGGGGTCTATGGCCACGATCCTACAATGAGGGCCTGCCTGCCCCTGGCTGCTCCATCCGGAGAGCTGGGCACTGGGGGCCTGACCCTGAGGATCTGTTCTCTGAGATGGCGCAGAGAGCTGGTCTTGTTTGTTTGTTTGTTTGTTTGGTACTGGGAATCGAACTCACCACCTCGCACATGCCAGGCAGGCGCTGTGCCGCTGAGCTAAATCCCCAGCCCCAAGAGAGCTGGTCTTGTACCTTATGTGAATCAGAGACCACAAGCCATTGCAGCCAGCTGGTCCTTCAAGAGAAGGCTCTACGCATCATTCCTGGGCCCAGCCAGGTGACATTCATGCCTACGGTCATCCAGCCATCGAGAAGGGGAACAAGCTGTGACCCTAAGCCAGGAGCCTCAGACACCTCCCTTTGGCACTTCTCTCTGTTTAGGGCTGTCTCAAACCACCAGGCTCCCCGATGTGATGCCTATCTGGCAGTGGCAGAGTTTGGGAGGCAGGTAACAGCATTTAAGAGCAGACTGCAGAGCTCGGCCTCCTGGTACCCTAGCTATACCATCATGGGCACATTTCCAAGTCTCTTTGCTTCTGTTTCTCACCTATAAAACAAGGAAGATAATGGCAACTGCCTCCCAGGCAGTTGTAAAGATCAAGCGAGCTAATATACATAGCACAGTTAAAAGCAGTTCTTGGCACTGTATGCTTCCAAAGACTAGCTGTCACCTGTCACTCCTGGGCCTGAACTGGGAGCAGCTTCTTCTGCTCCCCTCCTATGTCATCAGCCTGTGAGCTGGAGGGGCTGAAGAAGCCAGGGCTGGGTGCCATTTGTTAGTGGTGAAATAGCCAATGCAGTGGTTGGTTCTGGACACACAGCCCAGAGGCGAGGTGTAGGGGCCAGCGGCCGCAGGCCCAACACCACCCAGACACCTGCGAGGACCTCTGTACCCCGGGCAGGTGGAGGAGCCAGGCGGCCACTTCCTTCTGGAGCTGTGGGGTTTGGCGAAGCTGTGATAGGCCTGGAGGAGACAGACAGGGAAGGTGCAAGAGATGCCTTCCTTCTCTCCCAGGGCTGCAGCCAGGGCCTATCCTGGCCTCTACGGCCCCCTGAGGGTTCCTTCTGCCTGTGCCTCTTAGCTGCCTTGTGGCATTCTGGGCTTGAGCACAGGATCTGATAGGACACCTGCCCCCCAACTCCTGCCAGAGGTATAAGGCCTGCTGTGCCCTGAAGCTCTCTGGCAGATGACACTGGGCAGCTTTGGAACCAGCCAGCACTCCCAGGGAGAAAGAAATAAGGCACAACAGGATGGACGGGTGACAGGGGGACCAGGCACATGACGGGGCGCATTTTACTTGTCGGAATGCAGTCTGATAAACCACCATCCTCTTCAACATCTCCTGCGGCTGCCGGAAAAAAAAAGGTCCCCACCACATATTAAAAATCGGTCTTGTCTGCCCCCTGGTGGCAGGCCTTGTGCCTGCCAGCCTGTGGCCACCCTGTCCTTGCTCTGATAGATGTGACCTGATTCAGGGGTGTGCTCAACGCCATGCCAACGCCCCCCCCCCCAAGGACTCAGCAATTGCCCAGTTGTAGTCAAGCGGGTACCACCCTGCCATTAACGACAGAATGGGACTGGGACACATGAGCAGGCTGTTTCAGGAGCGTGACCTTTGCTCTTCGGGGAGCTGCCCAGACAGCTAAAGCTCAAAATAAGTATGGAGCTGTCCCATCCTGACATTTGGATAGGGTTTCCTAGAAGGAGGAATAAAAGTGCTGCTGTTCCCAGCTTGGATGGGAGCCCCAGATCTCCTGACCATGAGGACCTGGGGTGGGAGACCTGCCCATGACCCCCAGAACGCACCCTGGAATCCTCGGCTCAGGGAGGGAGAAGAGAACAGAGAGGGAAGGGTATCTGCCTGGGCCAGTTCCCCACCTAAGGCCTGGGGTGCAGAGGCCCGGAGAAAATGGAATCTCTACAGGGTTTGGCAAGGCGGCAAAGTGGGTAAGAGCACGGCTTTGGAGTCCAAGCAACTCGAGACTAAGTAGTGAATCCAAGCCAGGTGTGGTGGTGCTCGCCTGTGATCCCCCAGCACTCTGGGAGGCTGAGGCAGGAGGATCACATGATTGAGCCCAGGCTTAGCAAGACCCTATCTCAGAATTTAAAAAGAAAATAAATGAATACAAAGGGCTGGGGAATGTAGCTTTCAGTGTGAAGGCCCTGGGCTCAATTGCCAATACAAGGGGGAAAAAAACCAGTAAGTCCAGTGGCCACCTTGGACGACCACTTTAACCTCAGTTCTTTCCAGTGTTAAACAGGATGACAGCAGAAGCCATGTCACTGGTCTATTGTGAGGGTTCAATGAGACCACGCAGCACCTGGAACAGGGCAGGCGCTCACTGAGCCTTAGCTGTTTACATTGTCACTTTTAGGTGGATCCCCAGGCTGTGCGGTCAAGCAGCAGCAGGATTCCACTGGGCAGGTCACCGCCCGCTACATACATGTAGACTCATCTCTTGGTCAATGAGAAGGTGACAAGATGACCCCATTCTCTCTCTCCAGGGTCAGCAGAACCCAGGAGACGTGGTCCTGGTTTGATTCTCTGGAGACACCCTGGAGGGGACCCCACGGGGCTTACCAGGATCTCAGACTTCACAGCTGGCCTGTAGATGAAGTTGGACTCCTGGTGGACCATGACAGGTTTGGAGATGGTGGACACGCCAGGGCCCCGTGGGGGCTGCGGGCTTGGGCAGAATGTCTACAGGTGTTAGTTGAAGAGAGATCATGTGAAGTCATGGTGGGGGGGCGAGGTAGGTCATGGCACGCATGCAAGCTCACTCCATGCACATGCGAGCCTGCCCGGTCTGTCTATTTATCCTGCGGAGGTCCTGAGTGTGACCTTTGGCACAGAGATGAGAAGTGCACTGGCCACAGCATGACCCGAGGCCACAGAAACTACTGAGCAGTCTACAGAATCAGTCACTTGAACCAGAGCCTAGATTGGAGCCCTGTCAGCCGTGTCACTCAGAGCGTACACTTACAAGACTCTCAACGGCCACAGAGGCCATCCAGCGTCCCCTCCCTTAAAGGGCAGTCTCTTCCAGCCATAATCCAGTCCCTGGATGGTAGTACAAGGCATCTGCTCTTTCCACTGGCTTGGGCAGAGTGTCCAGAGACCATAGGGTGAGGACCAGTAAAGGCAGCGCTGGGGGAACTAATACCACCTGTCCGCTTTACGTTAGCCCATGTGAGCAAGAAAGACGTGCCGGATCAGGTCACAATCCCACCACAACCCTTTGAGAGGTTCATATTGACTAATGAGCCCCTCGGCTTGACCCCCAAAGCCCATGATTTTCTCTGCCTTCTTTTTCAGCCTCACCCTTTACTCCTTCGAGCCTCCTCCCACTGCTTGACTTTAGCCACTAAAATGCCAGGCTGGCTTGTCCTGGACCTTTGCACATGCTCCTTCCTTCTGCTCTGCTTGCCCTGGTCACAGTGCCTTTCCATCCCCGCATCTCATCACTGCACCTGTGCACCCAACATCTCCGCCAATGCTGTGGTCACTGCCTGCCAACTTGTCTTTCTTTCCCATCAGGCTATCTTGTCCAAGGACCATGGCTGCCCATCTAGTGGTGGTTCCCAGCAACCAGCACAGTGTCTGGCATATAGTAGGTGTTCAGGGAACGTGTGTTGACTGACTAAATGAATGACCCACTAGTCTGGCAGGCATACCAGACGATGCCTGTGGATCGGTAGACTGGGCCCTCATAACCTCCCTCAGGCAGGTGCTGGTGTGGCTGGCACAGTGTCAAGCTGACACAGGCATCTGTTTCCTCTACCTGAGCCCTGCTGGCGGCTGGACTGTGTGGACGTGTTGTCACTAGTTGCAGCGCTGACGACACCTTGCTGGGCACGTGGGGAGGAGGAGACTGGGCAGGGCAGGTGGGACAAGGGCCAGAGTGCTGGACGGGGCAGGACGAAGCAGCCAAACAGCAGCAGCTGGCCCTCATGTCAGGCACAGCTATGGCTTTGACGTCACTTAAGAATTTACGTGGAAGGGATGTAGAGAGTGGCCCATCTGGAATTCTGACTGTGCCTTGAAGTTTCCTGAGATGACTTCCTGTCTGCTCTGGCAGATTCATCAGATTTACTTGTATGTGGACTGTTACTAACCATAGCTAGTGTCCACCGGACATCTCCTACTTGCCTGCCTCCCTCCTCAGGATAGCTTAGAATGCACTCGTGGGCTTCTCTTCCTGTGTTTGTTTTCGGCGTTTCTTCATTACCTTGTTTGACTCTCATAACAGCTAGTTGCCACTAGCATTCCTCTTTTACAGAGTGGGAGGCCCAGGTTCAGACGCACGGAGTGACACATGCCTAAAGTCACCTGCCAGTGAGAGGCGAAGCCAGGATTCAAGCCCAGGCAGCCTGACTCCTTGCTGTCCTTCCTTGCCATCCATATGTCCCCCGCACCCGCGACACCCTTCCTTCCATCCTCATGGATCACATCCCTCAAGGCTCAGCTCATAAGCCCTGAGGTGTCTTCAGCCTCCCATTGGAATGAACGCCTCCAGCAGTGCATGGCTGAGGCCTACTTTGCAGCAAAGTCCTGCACGGGTAGCTGCTCTCTCTTTGGGTGGTGAGGTTCTAGAAGGCTCAGGCATGCTCCCTTCCGCTCCTCAGACCAAAGGCACAAGGCAGGGCTCAGTCTCTGACTGCAGAATCAAACTTGCTGGGGAAAAGCTACTGCCTATGTTAGTGGTGGCCACTTACAGAGGGGGATGCGGCCTTCTGTACCGGGCTAACCCAGCCAACTACAAACTGGCTCCCGGGGAGCAGAGAGACTTCTCCCTTGCTCCAGAGAACTCGAATGGGAAGGGCAATAAAAACCACCGGTAAGGTGCTACTGACCACCCTCTCCCCAACTTCCCCGCACCCTGCCTGGCCCATGGCTCAGGGAGCAAAACAATACAGTACTTTGTTTCTTCCTGGGATCAAAGTTTTTGTCTTCCTCACTAATCGCCTCTCCCAAAACAGTCTTTGGATAAAGAATAATTAATAAGAAACAGGCCTTTTGGAGAAGATCACCGTTCAATTTCCTGACATCCAGGAAAAACATCCTTAGTCTTTTAATAGTAAATTGGGAGATTTCCATGAACTCTGGCTTCATTTTTCATGTGGCTGGATGTGGGCCACAAATTTCTGAGTATCACACTTCAGGCAAGTGTGGTTGGCTAGTGCCATGGGAAATGACGCTGTGATGTGGGAAATACTGCTGAGGACAGTGCTGTCACTTCATTTTCAGGGTTCAATAAATCCCCCTGTCACTCCACTTTTCCTGTTAAACCAAGGAGTCATTTCCCATATTCAGGGCTTACTGGAATACTATCAAGAAATGACGAATTGCTGGGCGTGGTGGCACACGCTTGTAATCCCAGCACTTGGGAGGCTGAGGCAGGAGGATCATTGTAAGTTTGAGACCAGCCTGGGCTACAAAGTGAGCTCAAGGCCAACGTGAACTGCATAGTGAGAACCCGTCTCAAAAACACCAATAAATAAATAAGTAAGTAAATAAATAAATAAACAAACTAGTATTTAAAAAAAAAAAGAAATGACCGATTGATCCAGAGTTAGCTATTCATGAACACAATCTTCAAGTACCACATTGCAAGTTCCAAGTCCACATTATTCAGAGAGAGCAACCAACCTGGGCAGACACTGCTGGGGCTCACCCCACGTGCCCCGGCGACTCACCATACACACAGCACTGCAAACCCACCTGGAACGGTACACATGCGGGGAGCCCACACATGCAGGTTGGGGTCATTCCTGGAAAACGGGGTGAGATGCTGTTTCCTCCTGTCTCCATGCACATGGGCAGCGGAGGACTTGAGGCACAGCAGCCCTCCCCACTTTTCTGCTTCTAAGCATAGCATGCAGGTACCTTTGTGGTAGGTGGGAAGCTCCGTTCAGGGGCAGGGGAGCTGCTGGGCTTCCCACCATGGTTCTTTGCCTCCCAGTCCTCTGATCCATTGCCCACGTCCCCAGCACAGAATGGGTGGTTGCCCAGCGCCTCTTCCAGCGCCGAGGGCAATGGGCGGGTAGGAGTGAGGTCTTGGGTGGGGATGGATGGAGGGGGTGGGATGGGGATGGGGGGTGGAGTGCGCTGTACCCAGGGTGAGGATGAGGCACTCATGTGGCCTGAGGATGGAAGCACAGGGGGTGCGGGAACCTTGGGAGGAGGGTTGGAGGGTGGAGGGTGGGGCATCACAGGTAAGGCTGAGGGAGTCTTGGGGGGATAGTAGAACATGTCCAAGGGGATGTCATCCAGGTCAGTGGTGTGGAGGTGCAGGCCACCTGCGAAGCGTCTCAAGGGTGGGGCCAGGGGGGACACGGAAGGTGGGGGAGGCGGGGGTCCTGTGGTCATCTGGGGATTGCAAGGAAGGCTGTGATTATCTGTTGACTAGCACATCACTTCAAGCACACTGGGTACCATTCTCTTCTACCCTATTTCCCTTGCTGCTAGAGACCCCCCTCCTCCACACTAGAACCTTGGGTGCCACATGGTACAGGATAGGCCCAAGTTGTGTCATCTGAGTGGTAGCTAAGGTGGTCGGGTAGTTCATCCTTTCAACCAGAACACACTTGAGTAGGTGAGCAAAGCTCTTAATAATTGTGGTAGGACAACAGGCCTAACTAGGACCGTCTCAGACCAGCTGGAACACAGTGGTCACTCTGGAGATAAGCACAGAAGTTGAGACACGTCTCCCATCCCCAATACAGACATGTTTCCCTTCCCCAAGAGGGAGGGGGAGGGGCTGGTGGAGTGGGCCCTGGAGAGTGGAATGGGTGACCCCTGCTAGTGACCAATATGCCTCCACCGTCTCCAGGGTGGGTCATTCTGGAGGCAGCAGGAGGGTCTTTGTGGAAAGAAGGGCACTGTTACCTCTGGGATCTCATTATCAGCAGAGGAAATCTGCTCAAGTCGCGTCTGACAAAGCCTTTCCACCCAGTACTGAGTCTTTTCGGATTCCTCAAGGTCTTCCCTCTCGGTCTCAGATACCTGGGACCCAGGACCAAAGGAGGAGACACAGGGCACCTGAATCACACGAGCAGCCAACACCTGGAAGCACTTCGCTAAAAGCCCCAGAGCAGTTAGGCTGTCACTTGTCTAGAAAAAAACAGGGCGTGTTCCACCTGGCCCCCACAAGGCAGAACAGGGGGAAGAGGGGACGGGATGGAAGCTGACCTAAGAAATCTGTTAGCAAAATCGGAGGAAGGGCTTAGGTGCTGCATGGGATTGGCTGGACCCTTGCATTCCAGGAACCCAGAGACTTTTCTGATTCTCCAAGAGGGGTCCTTTTGTAGCCTCCCTGTGAATTCCAAGGACTGAACTTGTCTTCTTCCCCGCTGCAGGCTGCCTTGTCCTCAGAAGCACAAGTTGAATCTTATTTTTAATTTTGAAGCTAATTCGTTTCTAATGCCAGACCTAATGCTTTTCACATTTTCCAGAACTTCTCTGGCTCTATAATCTAATCAGCTTGGCATTCTGATTCATGAAAGCATTAAAGAGAAGCAGAAAGAGTATCTCTGCAGCTGGGGAGTTAAGGCCGATTGCCTTACCTAGGAAATAACAACTGCTCATGCCACAAGATTGCTTTTGACATGTCTGGCAGGGGAAAGTCTTAGACACATTCCCAGGTTAAAGAGGTCTAGCCTCAGACACACCCCCGTGGGTGGGAGCAGCCTCAGACTCACAGCCTGATTAGTTGGGGATGGCTTCAGACTTAGCACCTGCATGAAAGGGTTAGCCTTAGCCCACATAGTCCGAGCCAAGCCAGCCTGGGGAAACCTGCACTTGGACTCATAAACTGGGTATGGGGCCGGACTGTTGAAGACCTCCAGATAGATGAATGGAAGGCTAGCTTCAGATCTTCAAACTAGGCAGAGGGCTTAGCCTTGGGCTCATATCCTGAGCCAGTAGGCAAGTCTCCAGCTCAAACATGCATCAAATCCAGAAGTGGGTGGCAGGTAACTCTGGGAAGGTGGGATGATCTTATTGTCCAGATGGGGAGAGAGGAAGCCATCTTTGGAGCCCATCTTGGGAGAACAACTCCAGCTGGTCCCCAACAGTGTGGTGAGGGACAGCCAAAGTGTTTCCCAGGGGTGATCAGCTGGGCTGTGAGCAGGGCACATACCTCCTGGGCCAACCGGTTGATCTTTAGCTGTTTTTCCTTCTCCAGCATTTCCTCCTTCTCTTTGTAAAGCTTTTGCTCAAACTCCAGTTCCTTCTTATTCTTTCTCAACTCCTGCAAGCTGTCATACTTGGCTTTCTTCTTATCTTTGCCTTTCTGAGCAGAGGCGGCATTGTTGATATGATAAGGGTTACAAGGCAGTGTGGATACTAGAACAGCACACCGAGTAGCGTCCAGTCCTCAGACAACACGAGGCAACCCCTCCAGGCTGAGCCCCACCCACAGCTCTGCCTCCCTGCACTGGACATCCGACCTAGGGGTTAGGACAAGCAGGCCACTGCTACCTGCTGCAGGGTGGGAGACACACTCCTTCACCGGCCAGAACTGGATTACTAGTTCAGTAGCCATCTGTGTGATCTTCACTTAAGTTCCTTCACCTCTCTGAGCCTGATTCCCCTTGACTCTAAAGGGGAAATACTTGCCAGTGAAATAGCATCTATCAAAGGGCTCTGTAAACTTCAAAGTGCTGTCTAAATAAAAGGTATTGTATTTATTTCTTCTCCAGCATCTCAAGAGAAAGGTGGATCAGATACCAGAGATGCATTCTGGGCCACTCTAGAAGAAATCTGGGAGAGCTGGAAAATCTCATCCTCAGAGATCCTTTCCCATGCAAGAGGAGGTGGGAGCAGTCTCAGACCTGTGGCCCAGGGCCAAGGACACTGGATTTTGCTGCAATGTGTGAGTTATTCCATCCTGGAGAGTCTGAACCAAGGGTTCCCTCTAACCTGGGCCACTCAGCCGAGGACTGGAAACTGGAAACTGCATGCCTGAGAGATGTAGGCAAGGGCGGGGCAGAGGAAGGGCAAGTGCTTTACTCTGGTCAGAGTTCAGAAGGATTTGGGAGGGTGGTGAAGGGAAATCAGATCCTACTGGAATCGGATACACAGAGCCTACTTTCTATAAGCCAAGGGATTTACTTAGCTTTATCTCCTATGGACATATTGTTCCATTCCCTTGATGAAGGAACCATGGCTCAGAGAGCTGGTGACCCTCACCCAGTGTCAGATGTCTAGTAAGTGATGGTGCCAGGATTTGGACCTTGGTCTCCAGGTCCCAGTTTTTTGACTGTGCCCTGATGAGCTGAGGGCGAAGGAGGGAGAGTCAGCCCCCATCACACACAGCACTCAGGAGAGGGGAGCAGAGAGAGCCAACATTCTGGGCACAAGGGAGAACCTCCCTATTCACTGAGCTTGCCCCTGCCTCTAACAAGCCTTCCTGGGTCCTGCTCTTGGGCTTCCTAAGTCATCTCAGCAACCAAGGCTAGGGATAAGGAATTGGATTTCTCAGCAATGAACGCACACATTCTATTCACAGCTGGAGGAATAGTAGGTCATTACAGACCTCTGACCGGTTCACCCTATTCTACTAACCTGTAAAGATGACCCCCACTTCACGCATAGATAATATGCTTTGGAAATGGTCACCTTTGGGACCCACTTCCTGAGCAGTCTATGAGCCTGCTGAGCAATTGGTTCTCCTCCTTGGTTCCTTGCCTACCCTGCTCACTGGACTCTTAGCTCACTTGAGAGATGAATTCCTGCCATCATGTTAGAGATTCAGACAGCAATTCTCCAAGGGGAGCTAGAAACATCCTGCCTAGTAGCAGCTTGCTAGAATAAGGGCATTGCCTTGCACAGGGATCACCGTGATAGGAGTGGCCTTCCTATTGGTTTAAAAAAAATCAGTACTAAGATTTTAGAGCCAAACTCCTGGGTAGGGCAGGCTGACAACACACAGTTTCTGTCATCCCCAATGAAGTAGCACCTGCTTAGAGACACGGAGGCCAGGGTGCCCCACAGCACTGCCTACGGAACTTCTACTGCCTCCATGCACTAATTAATAGTGTGGGCGTCTCTCTCCCCTGCCATACTGGGATCCTGCAAGCAGAACGGCTCTGCATGACTTACTCAAGCAGTTCTGATGAAAGGTCTTAGCCAGAACCAGGAATCCTCCAGGTCCCGGCATAGGCTTTGTGGTGCCATAGACCGGAGGCCTTGAGTCCTGTAAGGTCCCACTGTGAGGGTGGTAATAGAGACACTGAATATTTCTGTTTTCAGAGAATGGGGGTTTTGTGCATGGAGGGTCTTGGCCAAGACACCTCCTTGCATTATGTGGGGACTCAGTATTTCAGCTGCTGGGAGAAAAAGCTTCTCCATGGCTCTAGTCACTGTGATAATGATTCCAGAGCCAGTGTGAGGGATATGCCTATGTTGTCCTTTTAGCTGTCAGCTTTAAATCCACGGCAAACATTCTTCTCAGTCCAAGCTGAGAGGAAAGGCAGATGGTAATGTGCTGCTGCTTCTACCTAAGAGCAATTGTTCTCTCTTTTGGAAATGAAAACAAAAACGAAAATACCAGCTGTTTCCGGAATGACAGAACTAATGAAAAAGGGGCAACCAGCACTATCTCTTTACCAATGGGAACTTTCAAGTGATGTCATTTGTGATATGTACGCGCAAGACAGTCTAGCTCTTTCACATCTGCACAGCTGTTAAGGCCTGGAAAGGGTTTGGTCCACCTGTCTCCTTTTACTACTTTTTTTTCCAGTGAAATCTCACTGTGTGTGTGTGTGTTTCTGTCTATTTGAGTTCTAATAGAGATATTGTGTAGGAACAATTAATAACCTAACTCCGTGAGCCACTCTAAGCCAGGAATCAGCCTGTAAGATGAAAAGAACAGTCTTAAGAGACCAAGTGCTTTGTGAAACCAAGATAATGCTGGAAAAAAATCTCCAAGAAGCTCTGTCCTAAATTTATTCACTGCTATACAAGTCACAATCTGCTGTTAACCTATGTCAGGAATATTGCTGTTATCTTAATGGGAGCGTATTGGAGAAAGGAAGAAGATTTTCCTGGCACACCTGATACTCCCATTTTATAGGAAGGAAGAAGTTATGGATCATCAAAGTCACCAATCTTTAGTAGCCTGGCTTCTGGGTGACCAACTTCTTACCAGAGAGAGCCAGTGAAGGTATAATTTCCAATTCAGCTCACTCAGATTTATGCCCATGCCTATTTTCCAAGTATCAAGCCATCTTGAATGTCAAATGCACAGAAATTAACAGTGGCATTTTCATAATCAAATGCCAAAGTGATTTAGGAAAGATGAAGGGCAAGAGAGTTTTATGAGGCCTGGAGATGCTACAATAAGATTTAGAGAGAAAATTAAAGGCTCTGGAGATTGGGAAAATGCACGATCCTGGACACACGCAGAGACAGCCGCGGCAGAGGGTTGTGACTGGTGTGGTTCGGGTCCCAAAGGAAGCAGCAAATCCCCTGTGTGGTCAGTCAATCTGCATCTGGCACATTCAGTGTCGTGACCCACACTGCTGTTTCACACTGTCCCAGCCTGGTCATGGGCCCTGGTTCTACTTGATAGAAGAAAGCAGAAGCTCCTTGCCCCTGGCTTGTGCCACAGGAGCTGGTGCAGACCCTTGCAGAGGCTGACTGTCCCCGGGCTGGCCTCATGCTAAGAACATCCTGCAGAGCCTCTACAATGGTGCCCTGACATGCGGCATCAGCTTGACAACGAGGGACAGAAGCGATTAGCCTTCCAAGCAAAAAGGCCCGGTCACACCGTTCTGAGCAGACAGGAAAAGAACTGTTTGAAAAAAGCCACACCCCACAGCAAACTCATCCACACACTGGCACAGCACCCAGTCCTGTCCTACCTTCCGGATGGTTGGGAATTTGCCGTCGTAACGGTAAAACCACCCAAAGGCTATAAGAACACATAGAACAGAATGGTGAGACATGGTTCAGCTGGGCCAGAGCTTCCATGGCAGCAGCTGGGGGCGAGGTTTCCAAAGAATGTGTGGCTTTGTGAGATGAACAGTGGCAATGGCAGATCCAACCACAACCCTGCACCCTTTGCCTGATTCTCCACTTACCTGGCCTCGCCTGGGGTGAAGCAGGTCCAAGACAACCTGGGAAACATCCCATTCCCAGGCTCCGAGTCCCTCTCAATGCCCCTCCCCAGGATACTGGCTTCAGAAGTCAGTGCCAGAAAAACAGAGAGCAAACTCCTTGTGGAAGAATGAGCTTTTCCAAATCCCAGACATGGTCTCCAAACACAAAGCCCCGTTGAGAGAGAAAAAGCCCTCTCCAGCCGATGCCTGGGTCCTCCATCCAAAAAATGACTTGAGACAAAAGCAAGCCTGGGTCTCTGCCTAGAATTGCTATCAGGCAGAACAAAACTGTCTTGTCTCACACCACAGAACAAGTAGGCTGCTTTCAACATGGCAAGAGAGGCAGGGGCCAGGTCAGCGCAGGAAGAATGTGCCAGCAGCAGTGGGGAGAAGATGCATCTGCAGAAAAGCACATCCCCATTTGGGACAGAAAAGCAGGGCCAGCCCCCCTCCTCCCAGGCCACAGCCTGGCAGGGCAATGAGCCAAAGCCGAGCCCCCTGGGGCTGGGAGTCACAGCATAAATGATCACGTACCCTTGACCATCTGAGTGCTGGAACATGCTTTTGGAAACTGCTGGTGGGCCAGGCACCATCTCCCTAGATGCTGGACCTGGGAGGGGCCTAGGGAGTTTTGGGGGAGACGCAAGAGAAGCAGAGGCGGGTCTTGGGCTTGGGCAGTACTTAAATATTTAAATCGGAGGTTCATTTGTACTGGTGTGCACCTGCTGATCTACCAGCCTGGCCACAGGTCCTGTCACAGTTTTATGTTAGCGCTTGGAGGAGCTTCACAAGCTCCAGTGGTCCCCACCACGTGCCGGCCCCTCAGAGCCTGGTGTGTGCATTGCTTCAGGAGGTGGTGGGCAAGGCAAGCAGGGCAGCCAGGCCAGGGAGCGAAGCGGGGGCGCCAACCTGCTTTCCCTGCTCCTCTGTGCCTCCGTCCGGGTGGTCTGCGGGCTCGAGCTCAGGCTCCACTCCCTCATCATCTACCCCAGGAAAAGAGGAAGAAGCTGGTGAACCAGGAGGATTGGGAGAGCGAAGGCCAGATGAGCTTCCAAGGAACCCAAGAGCCTAAGACCAGCTTCCTCCAGGGATGCTGTGAGGTCTGGGCTGGGACAGAGGCCTAGCTCCGGCTGCACCGCTTTCAACCTCAGTAGCTTTGGTTTCTCTGTCTGTAAAATGGACTAACAATAAGAGCTCTGACCTGACAACAGCATGAGAACCACTTTGCAGGCTGGTGGTTGAAAGTTAGGAGGTGTGGTGAGAATGGAAATACCTGGCATTATACCCCTGTGAAGGCAAGGGCTTGCTGTAGAATGGATCCTTTTGCCTTCTTTTTCCATCCTTTCCTTGGGGCCTGGGGTGTCTGAGCTATGTCCTGAGGTGGTGGCAAGATCCCACAGGCAAACAGGGCACATGTAGTTAGGAAAACAGGAATTTGGACATCGTGCATGCAAAGAGACTAGCATGCCATCACTGTAGTTACTTTTTATTTATTTATTTATTTTTTTGGTAGTTATTTCCAATCTGGCCTCTGGTCTCTCTGGGACTCTGGTAGGTGGTGTACGAGCCTGCCTCTGAATGGCTTTTAAATTACATAGGCTTTCTTGGCCTATGAAAAGGGCTGTACGTTAAATTTCTTTGCTTTTTGGCTTGAATCACATTTATTCAATAGTTGGAACACTGAGGCTGTCTTGCCAACAAAAAGATGCTCGCTTGCTAATAAAACAAGGGAAACACGCAGTATTAATGCATGGTTTGGTAGGAAAATAGAAAAACCTCAATTTCCAAACTATAGGTCTACTGAGGGGGGTGAGTTAAGGTGGTCTTTGAGAGACAGAAGGTTGGAATATCTCCTTTCAACCTCACCCCTCAAGGCCCCTTTAGCTCTGGGGTCCTTAATAAAGATACTCCATTCCAACCCCGCCCCACTGCCTGGGCTAAGGAAAGGTCTTTTAGGGGTCTCTGTGTCAGTACATGCTAGCTCTGAGGGCTCAGAAGAATATCGGGGTGCTGTTGGTTAGGCCAGGGATGGGTGGGCAGAAGCAACTGCGAGAGCCCCTGGGGCAGCTGGTTGGGGGAGCAATCAGTCCCACCCACATCCTTAGGCTGGGTGACCTCATGATCCAGGTTACAGATGGGTCGTGCTCTTTCCTGTTTGCTCAAAATTGCAGGGTCCACAAGCCAGAGTCAGGTCTGACCTGCTGGCCAACAGGGTCCTGGAGCTGCAGGGCAGTCGGAGGGGCTGGCTGGCGGGCTCCTACTGGCCCGGACTGTCCCAGCCTCCTGGTAATGGGCAGACAGGCAGACACTGAGAAAGTCAGGCTTGTCCTGACTTATCTCTGGATGAGAACTCAATTGTGAGTGGTGTGGAGATGGAAGGTGAGAGCAGTCGCCCCAGGAGAGTAGGGGAGACCGGGGCCATCAATCTGGTGCTTTGCAGCCTTGTCTCAGAACACTCAAATCTTGAGGAAAGGTGAAATTCTTGCTCCTTTTATTCAAGAAATCCAATTTGCTTAAAAAGCAGTAAATAAATAGCTAGCTAGTGAAAGGGTTTTTATTGTTCCTGAGAGGGCTTGTTTTTTGTGAAGCTGAGACCCAATTTTTTGGACGGTACTAAATCGACCAGGGTGAGTTTCATGAGAAGCAATTAAAATCGATTTCTCTCCTTCTGAAGCTCCTGTTTCACTCAGCAGCAAATTAGCTGCCCATCTAAAACATGGATTGTCCACCAGGAATTTAGCTTAAGCCACATCCTCAGCTAATGAATGTCATGGTGGAGGCTAGTGAGAGCAAGCTTTGTCCGTCTGAGAGAACATGAGATGACACTGTGCCCTGCTGCCAGGAAGGACTGCGCTGGGAGCCGTCTGTAGTGCATGACAGGAGGGTGAAGTGGACGCTCTTTCTTATTCCTAGTGGCTTGAGTTGGCAAGTTGATGCCCCTTTGAGGTTTGGGTATGATCCAAAGTTGAGACAGAACTATCAGAGCTTCCCAAGTGGCTGCCAGGCAGCAAAGACGGGGAGCCCTGGTTCTCAGCCCCCTCAAAGTCCAGGCCCTGTGTTCTTGCCGCAGAGCCTGCCCATGTCAATTGTAAATCGCATCAGCTGGGTGAAGACCCAACCAGGCTGGAACTGACATGGCCACGGCCCAGACATTGCCTTGCTCCTGGAGCCCCCCACTAGCTCATGAACAAATACTGAGACTGAGACTGAGACTGGGACTCCCATTTGTTCTGAGAGTTTAGGCTGCTTCTTGAATCACATGTTAGAAGTTGGTGGATGGGGGGGCTGGGGATTTAGCTCAGCGGCAAAAGCGCCTGCCTAGCAAGCGCAAGGTCGTGAGTTCGGTTCCCGGTACCGGAGAAAAACCAAAAAAAAAAAAAAAAAAAGAAGTTGGTGGATGGGAGAGCAGTTGTTGGGGACCTGGATTGAAACAGGAAGTGAGACCGCAGGGCTGATGAAGAGGGGAGAGGGGAAGGGTGGTGAGAGCTGAGGAACCAACATGGTGCAGTCACCAGGCCACAGCTGGTGCTCAGACCCATCTCCTCGTCCTTTCCCTGCCTGCACGCTGGAGTGGTGACAGCAGCCCACAGGCAGGTATTGCGAAGGGGCACTCAGGCCAGCTCCTCCCTCTGTGCCCATCGACCTTGGACCACCAGAGCTCCTTCCTCTTTCTCTCTGCTGGCTTCACCCCAGCCCCTGTTCAGAACCAGGTGAGCACAACACCCACAAACTAGGGTAACCATTGGCCGAGCCAGTTCCGCTTCTGCACAGTTCCACCTTTGCACAGCTCCCCATCCCCTTGCGGTACCCCAGCAGCCCATCTGTACGTGTGCTGTGAGGGAGCAGTTATATAAATCAGGCCCCCCAGGCAAGGAGGGCAGACAGAGCCCCCCACCCCGGCACCCTGCTAGACGGCCTCTGACAAATGACTGCCTCCCCATGAGAGAAAGGCGGCCCAGAGGACCACAGGCTGTTCACCTGGGGAGGTGACAGAGGCCGTGGGTAGAGAGGACAGCATTTCTGCCTGGCTCCCGAAGTCTCAGGCCCTAGAAGGGCAGCCTCAGATGCCCGGCGCATGATACATACACTTTGGTTTGCGAAGGGAAATTGGATGCACCTCGGTGGCGATGGTTTTAGGCACGAGGAGCTGTTCCTTTGAGCCCCAGTCCTCTTCCCACTGCTTCTTAAACTTCTCTTCCTCCTCCACGATCCTGAAATGAGACCACGGCTGTGACTGGAGTCAGACCCTCTGCAAGCCCCCCTCCTGCCTACCAGAGGACCCGAGCAACCCGGGAAGAGGCTGGAGAGTAGGACAGTGCCTGGAGCCGGTGTGCTCAACTAATAGCCGGTTACATAAGCTGTGCCCCAGCTGCGCTGAGATGACAGGCTTTGCCAGGATTATGGGATGGCTACAAATAAAGGAGGATCCACCAGGGGACCGGAAGGCCACACATGGACCACAGTACTCACTGCTCCATCTCCTTCCGGTATCTCTCGTTTTCCTCTGCTGCCTTCTGGGCAATTTCCTTTCTCCTTCTGCAACACAAATGCAGGTTGGCAGGGTTGAGTCTACACAGGAAAAATTAACTCTTCCTGTGGCTGACTCCTGAGGCGAGAAAAGTTTTCTGTGTTTTCTCTTGCCTCTTTCAAGCACGCCTGCACCAGCCTGGGTGCAGGGAACCCAGCCAATGCAGTCCAGGCCCTGGGCTCTGGGCGGTTTTGTCTGGCACTGCCAGGCACAGACTCTGTGCCACAAGAGCCAGGTGGCAGATCCAAATGAGGGCCGCTCTCCACGCTTTGTACTCCAAGCTCTTAGTGACTGATAGGGCCTGGGCTGAGTGAGGTCCTCTCAGAGGAGGGACCAGATGCTGGGGCAGAGCAGGGGCTGCTAACCAGGCATGAGACCCCCAGTTACTCTGTGATGGGAGAGATGGGAATAGCCTCTCTTTCCTTTTTCAAGCACGTATTAAGTGCTGAGAATGTGTCTGCACTTGAATTTTACAGTAGGTTATTCTCTCAGTCCGTTATTTCAACCACCTAGCGGGGAGGGCTTATCACCACAGGTGTGTGGCCCTGTGGGGGCTGTCAGGCTCTTGAGGCAGACTGTTGGGATATGAACCCCAGCGTGGCCATGTGTGACTTTGGACACAAGCAGCTTCCACTCTCTGAGCTCAGCCTCCTCACCTGAAAAAGAGGTTAATACTATTTACCTCCCAGAGCTGTTGTGGGAATTAAATGAAGTAACATAAGCAAGGCCCTAATATAGCACCAACTATATAGTACATGGTAGATCCTCCACATGCTAGCTATGGCTGGTGGGACTCTCATTTTGCATAGCTCTGGAGTCTGGAAATCAGGGATTCTCTCAGCAAGGAGGAAGGGGCCAGGTGGTCTGTGGATGAGGAAGGCAGGTGCAGGAGGCAGGAGACAAGCGGGGTGAGGCCAAGGGGGTCAGAGAGGGTGTCTGGGTCCCTCGCCTGCCACTCACTGCCGCTCCATCTCCTGCTGTTCCTGGAGGATCTTGTTGGACTCCATGGCCAGCCGCTTCTGCATCAGCAGCTCTTGTCTCTGTAGCTCACGCTGCCGCACCTCTGCCAGCCGCTCCCGATCTGTCATAAACAGCTCCCGGCCCTGGTGGGGAGAAAAGAGGCTCAGCTCCCTGGAGAACCTGGGTATCCACTGTTAAGCCCTGGGAGCCAACATGTGGCTGTATTCTTGGTGCTGTGTCCCCAGGATCGGGCTCTGAGTCCCCCATGGCTTGGACCCAAACTTCTCGCTGGGTAGACACCCCTTCCCTCTACTGTCAGAGTTTCAAGGAAGGACACCCCTTGGCTCTGCCCAAAAGTGAGTGGTAGAGATCAGGGGTCAAAGGGGCTGGGGCTGGAGGTCAGGGGTCATGAGGGCCCCACCATCTAATTCTGAACTCACAGCTCCGGCTACAATGGAGATGGTCAGGCTGCGGCTACTCTTCAGCACATTCACGGCCTGTGAGGACAGGGGGACAGTCAGCTGGGTCCTCACACACACACCGGAGCAGCCAGGCAGAGACAGCAGGTGGTTTTAGATGCCGTGGTGGTGGTGGCGGGGTGTTAGAAGTGGGTGGGGGGAGAGTAAGGGCTGCACATCTTACCTCCTTGTGGTCCAGGTTGGAGAAATCAATGCCATTGACTTCCACAATCTGGTCCCCCGGCTGATAAGAAACGGAGAAGGGTTAGCGTGTGTGAGTCACCCTCACACTCACTTGTCTGCAGAGTGGGCTCCCCCAGGGTACAAGGCTCAGATGCTGGGTCTTCCCAGTAAGCAGAACAGTTGGAAAGCTCCGACGGCGCATCTCAAGCTCATCCGTGCACTCCTCGCTCCATAACTAGTATATGGGCTAGCAAGTCTTACACCATTAGAGGCTAACTACATGGCTAAATTAGGATATTTGCAATACAAATCTCAGTTAATAGACACAAGAACCTTTGGGTTTCTCATCTAGCAGAAGCTGTGCTGGATTACTACCATCATAATAGTTATAATAGCTAATATCCATTAATTGCTTACTATGTGCCTGGCACAACTCTGGCATATAGAAAAATTAATTTAATCCACACAAAAACCTTAGAAGGAAGGTTGTAGCATTCCCATTTTATAGGAGGGGAACTGTAAACACAGAGACAAGGGTAACTTGTCCACAAGGGGGGCGGTTAAGAGTTCCAGCTCTGGCATCAGACCACTCAGGTATAAAACCCAGCCCACCTACACCAGGGACATGATATTGAAAAAAATCACATACTTTCTCTGAGTTCCAGTTTCCTGCCCTGTGAAATGGGTGTAACAGCAGCGCCTAGTCTTAAGTGCTCTTGTAAAGCCTAAAAGGCTCGGACAGACATCCCACCGCAAGCAGACACAGAATGTCAACTCTGACTGCTATTGCTACATTCCCAAACTCGGGGCTGATGGCTTTCAGAACTGGAGAAAGCTATAAGGAAATCAACTGTCACATCTTGTGCGGGCCGTGGGGTGGACTCATCAGCCAGTGATGCTCAGGAGCAGGCTGTGTAGGCAGGCAGGGCCTGGTCCATGGGCAACCCCACCGCCCCCAGGGCCAGCCCGGCCCACTCACCTCCAGCCCCACCTCTGCAGACAGCGAGCCAGGCTTCACTTGGCTGATGAAGATGCCGGGTTTTTGGATGGGGCCACTAGAAATGCTGCGAGGTGGGAAAAGTGGGTGAGGCTCTACCCTCTGCTTGTTCTCCGTGTCACACCTGTCACCCTCTGCTTGGGTATCCAGTGTTCAGGAAACATCTCACCCACAAGCTTAGGGCCCAAGGCCTCCACTTCTATCTCACTCCCAGCCTGCCTTGGGCAACAGCCACAGTACACTGCTGGTAATCCCCCACCCAACCCCTCATCAGTATACCACCGGTGCCGTTCCTTCTCTTTCAGGTTCATTCCTTATGACTCAGAAGATATCCTATTCCCTGCCACATTTTCATAAGACCCCTTGTTCTGTCCCAAGATTCAGCTAGCTGCTTGCTTCCTCCTCAGTGCTCCTAAAACTCTATGGCAAGGATGATGCTTGGCGCTGTCCTCCTGCTGAAATCTGTGGCAGACATCACTAATCAATCACAGCACTCTTTCTCACTAACTGGGCCCAGCCTTCGAATCCTGTGCAGAAGTGTTCCAGGTGGCCACCTACTGAGTGATTAAGAGACGCTACAGATAAGAAACCTTTTTACCAGCCCTGACCCAGCATGTAGGACTCCATCAGAGTTCCTGTCACCCTGTCTTATAATCATTTATGTGTTTGGCTTCTGAATTAAGGCTGTCATCTCCCTAAATGGGAAGGGTTTTTTAAAAATCACTTATAAGTCCTTTGTAATAATCCTGCAGTGTGGATATTACTATCCCCAATTTATAGAAGGAGAAACTGAGGCTCAGGGTGGTTAAGTAGCTGGTCCCTGTGGTCCAAGTAGCTCGTAGATGGCAGAGCAGGGCTGCACCGACAGGTGAGTGGCTGCAGCACATTAACAAGGGCTCCTGATATGGCCCTAGGCCTGTTTGGGATTCCCTGGCTAGGGAAGGAAGGAAGGTTCTAGAAGAAAGGTTCTAGCATTTCCATTTTATGGGAGGGGCCACAGGAAGGCCACAAGGGACAAAGGGAGCTGTGACAGAGATGACCAGCTGGACAGGATCTTTTTACAGTGACTTGAGTGCTCATCCAAAGCAAGTACCTCTGCTTCTGGGCCTCAATTTCCTCATCTATAAAATAGAACCTGTTAGAGCTGCCCCTCAGGGCCTACCGGCAATTGTGAAGTTCAGAGAGGAAATCAGCTACCAAGAAGCGTCATCAAACAGATAAATGTAGTAGTGGACAAAGGTCCTCAGGAGCAGCAGTGAGGAAGAAGAGAGGAATTAGGGCCTGCTGGTGTCTACAGCCGCAGCGGAGCCCCAGGGTGTGCCTGCAACCCACCTGCAGCCAAGGCCCCGGGAGCCCACCAGGCTGATGAAGACCTTCTTCTCCTTGCTGGCCCGATTTCCAGGGGAGCCCAGGCTGCCCAGCCCGCCCTGGAGAGGGGACAGAAGCAAGGTGACTAGATGTCCACGTGTCCGCAAGTGGGCTCCTGAGCTCAGATCTTCAGAACAGGCATTGCTGAGTCCATACAATCCAGATGGCCGCTCTCTCCCTCCGGGTGTGGGCTTGTAACAGCTGGGCCAGCTGAGGGCGCATCACCTAGAGGGGCTTTCTAGGTATCCCAGAGGCCTGTGTGAAGCTCTTGAGAAGCCTTTCTAATAGCAGGGCGTGGTGGCGCATGCCTGTAATCCCAGCACTCGGGAGGCTGAGCCAGGAGGATTGTTGTGAGTTCGAGACCAGCCTGGGCTACAAAGTGAGCTCAAGGCCAGCCTGAATGGCTTAGGGAGACTCTATCTCAAAAAGACCAAAAAAAAAAAAAAAAAAAAGAGAGAGAGAGAGAGAATCCTTTCTAGAGCAAATCCTCCTTTAACACCCCTCTAGGAAGACCACCCCACCCAATCCCCATCACAGGTGGCCTTGGCCCTTACCCCTGATTCTGACACAAACTGATCCACATACTGCCATTTGAGGGGCTCATCAGGAGAGCTGATGGAGGGGAAAAGAAAAAGGGGAACGGTTAGTGGAAAATGTCTGAGGAACCACACTTTGTCCAGATCTGCCACATCTGGATCCTTTGCCCTCACTGGCCCAGGGTCAGGAAAACCAGGCCCCAGTGTCCTACCAGGACACTGAGTCACCGGGAAAAGACTGCCACAGTGGAGGGTCCTGCTCACCTCTTCACAGGGATCAGGCCGATGTCTGTGGGAGAAAGGCACTGGGGTTAGGATGGCTCCCCAGCCCTCCCTTTCCCCCAGGAGCTGGGAACCCCACTGCCTACCCAGCGCACCCAGCCTCACTCACGTCTCACTTTGATGGACACGGTCTTCTTGGTCCGGATGAGGTTGATGACCTCCTCATGGGTACAGGAGGAAATGGAATATCCATTGATCCGGACAATCTCATCACCTACCTGGGCCACAGAGAGGAGTGAGCATCGGGGTGTCAGGTAGCGGGACAGGCCCGCCACCAGGTGCTTGTGGCTTGCTCTCCAGAGAAGGGACCAACAGCCACACAATCTCTCAGAGTAGATCTTGACATGTACCTGGTACCTTGTCACAACCAATCCAGCCTCCATCAGCCTACGGGATCCCAAGGGAAGGGGCTCTTCCACGTATTCCTTTTGTCCCATTTTACAGATGGAGAAACCAAGAAACCAAGGATGCTCCAACCAAGGAGCATCCCACCCTGCCCCTGGGAAGGGGCTCTTCCACGTATTCCTTTTGTCCCATTTTACAGATGGAGAAACCAAGGTGGGAGATGAGGGGCTCTGTGGGTGGGTAGCAGAGCCAGAAGTAGGAGTCTGTCCCCTCGCTGTGGTGCCCCTTTCACCCCATTGGGGCACCATTAGGTTCCAGAGTCTGCACAAAGGGTGACCCTTTGCCCAGCATGCAGCATCCCACCCTGCCCCTGGGAAGCGGGCTCCCTGCCCCTGGGAAGTAGGCTCCCTACCTCTGGGAAGCAGGCTCCCTGCCTCTGTTAGTCACCACAACACCGGAACTAGGTACAGGGGGGATCTATGACTCTCAGCCAAGCTCACATCACCAACACGATCCCTTTTTTTCCGTTCTATGGAAACTTGATAAACATTCTAACTTTGCCGTGACCCTGACCTCTGAATTCCTATTCTGGGAGCAATCAAAGAACAGTGACTGAGCCCAGGGCTTTAGTATCTGCTGTCCTGGGTTCGGACTCCTGCTTTTGTTCTTATGAACTCTGTGACCTCTGTTTTCCCCATCTATAACACAGGGAATACTGTGGTTGCTGGGAACATTAGCGAACTCACGCATGTAAAGCCATGTGTACCTGGCACACAGCAGGCTCTCAATAAGTGACCCGGCTGTTATCTTAGGTCCAAACCCTAACCCTGTTCAGATCCCTCTTCGTATAGTAGTTTAGGCTACAGGACAGGAGAAAGGGGGCCTGTGTGCAGACCCTGGTGACAGCGCCCCCTGCTGGATACTGTTGCTGGTCCTCCAGGCATTTGGGTCCTGGAAACCAGTCCTGCTTCTGAGGGTCTTCTGGTCCACCTCCCAACCTACAAGGGTCTTGAAGAGTCACTTGTCACTGTTGCCAAAGGGACCTCCCTTCCTCTCCAGGACACAGACCCCCATCTTCTCAGGGCTCTGACGGGAGTGGCAAGGGCTCAAAAAGGCACAAAACATAGGGACTCCCAAGATTCTGGGGACGCTAGATTCAAAAAGTGCGGAGCCAGCTAGCTCCTTGCACCTGTTTTTCACAACCCTGCGGGGTAGGAATGTGTGTCTCTGTGAGTCAGAGGAGGAAGTAGAGGCTCAGAGAGGTGAAGGGACTTGCTCAAGGGCACCCAGTAAGCAAACAGGGTTGCTGGGATTGGATGTCTGTCTTCCTAACTGACTCAAGCCTTATCTTGGTGTCTGGAAACAGAAAAGAGGGGCACATGGGCAAGCATCCCTGCATCTTGCCCTCTCTGGATCTCTGCCACCTGTCAGAGCCCTCAAGTACCACTGGAAGGCAGGGATTACTCTGTCCATTTTATAGCTGTGACAACCAAGGTACAGAGAGTATCTCCTAGTCGTAGAACATACAAGTTGTATAGCACAGGCTGCCCTGTGCAGGGCAGAGGACAAGGGTAAAGACAGAATAAACTTGAAAAAAATCTAAAGTATCCAGCAGGAGACAGGAATAGTAGGATGGAGGCTTAGGCCTAGGTCCTACTGGAGGGTCCGTCCTCTCCCTTACAGGGCACCCGGCCTCACAGGGCAAAGCAGCATATTATCTCCAGCCAAGCCAGGCTGTGTCTGAACCTTCCTTGCCTTCCAGAATGTTCCTGGAGCTTTCTTCAGGTACAAGCACTCCCTGGAATATGAACCCAGGTGAGTCAATGGATGCTGCCCTTTCCCCCAAGCTCCTCTGGGTGAAGTTCCCTGCCTTGTTCCTAAAGGGGAACTAGCTCAGGATCCAGGCCTAATGGTTCCCACAGCACCCCCCAGCTTGGGTTGCAGGATCAACTTCCCTCTCCTTCTTGCTGGGTGCAGAATTCTGCAAAAGGGCCTTTGTGCGGGGACCATGATGATCTGAGGGATAACAGGACAAAGGAGAGATGAGCCCATCGGCCCAAGAAAGGGCTGATGATTCATAAGCTCAAGAAAGAGCTGAGGGGGTAAAATTGTAATTTCCATTAAAACGCCCGCATGGCCCCAATCATCGGGCCGGCTGAGAAACACTCATCCTAGGAGGAGAGCTCGCCCATAAAAGAGGGCCTCAGCCGACGCCAAGAGAGGAGCTCATTATGTTTTTGTCTCTGGCTGCATTTCTGGGCTGGAAAATGTGCCACAGAGGAAAGAAATAATGAAGAGGCTGAAATTTCAGATGCGGTCGGCAAGGCGAGCCGTGAGACAGGGATTGAGAACAAAGCGATGTCTGTCAGCTCCCCGTTTCCACCTCACCCCCCTCCATGTCTTGTACCATAAGCACTCGAGCCCCTTCAAAGCCCCTGGCTTGGCTGCTTGATGGGGTGTTGATAACAAACACCCCAGAGCTCTGGAGGTAGCTGGAGGCTCCTTTATCAGGACAGACAACACTGCAGGCTCAAGGAGGAGGAGGAGGAGCAGGAGGAGGAGGAGGAACAGGAGGAGAAGGAGGAGCAGGATGAGGAGGAGAAGCAGGAGGAGGAAGAGGAGCCGGACAAGGAGGAGGAGGAGAAAGAGGAGCAGGACAAGGAGGAGGAGGAGGAGGAGGAGGAGGAGGAAGAGGAGCAGGACAAGGAGGAGGAGGAGGAGAAGGAGGAGGAAGAGGAGCAGGACAAGGAGGAGGAGGAGGAGCAGGAGGAGGAAGAGGAGCAGGACAAGGAGGAGGAGGAGGAGGAGGAAGAAGAGCAGGACAAGGAGGAGGAGGAGGACAAGGAGGAGGAGGACAAGGAGGAGGAGAAGGAGAAAGAGGAGAAGGAGGAGGAGGAGGAGAAAGAGGAGAAGGAGGAGGAGAAGGAGGAAGAAAAGGAGCAGAACAAGGAGGAGGAGGAGGAAGAGAAGGAGATGGAGGATGAGGAGGAGGAGGAGGAAGAGGAGAAGGAGGAGGAGGAGGAGGAAGAGATGGAGGAGGAGGAGGAAGAGAAGGGGGAGGAGACGACCTGGAGGTCTAATCCTTGTGCCCAGACACAGCAGTGCAGGGACCCCAGGGGACCAATACTTGAAGCCCTGGGCTCAGCATTAGGAGGCACAGGTTCTAATCCTGCCTGAGCCATTGCCTGGCCTCAGAGCTGCTATTAATTGTAAGACAAGGATGACACATTCATTGTGACAGTGACAACTGGTTGTGCCCATGTTACCCAGTGCCCTGTAGGTGTTCACTGAATCTCTCCCTCTCTCTGCTTGCTGTCAAACATAGCACTTATGTGCCAGGCACTTTAAGCTATTTCTAATATTAATTCATCTGTTCCTCATGCAACTTGATGAGGCATATAGTTTTGTCATTATCCCATTTTATAGATGAGGAAAAGAAGGCCCGGAGTTCGGCCATTTCACCAGTCACATGGCTCAACAAACAGTGAAGCCAGGGTTTAAGCTGGATAGTCCAGCCTCGGGGTCTGTGTTCTCAAGCTCCCCAATGCTCTTTCTTTCTTCCTGCTGCTCACAGGTCACTGGTACCAAGTTTCCGGTGTCTGGGCATAGTCATGTTCCTCCTTCAGGTAGTAGTGAGGCAGCAGGCAGCAGTTATGGTGGCACACACCTGTAATCCCAGCCCTCTGGGAGTCTGAAGCAAGTCTAAGAGGATAGCAAGTTCAAGTCCAGCCTGAGCAATTTAGTGATTTAGTGAGACTCAGTCTCCAAATAAAAAATAAAAAACAGATGGGTGTGGTGAGGTACGCTTATACTCCCAGACTCAGGAGACTGAGGCAAGAGGATTGCCAGCCTATGTGATATACTGAGTTCAAGGCCAGCCTGAACTACATAGTAAGACTCTGTCTCAAAAAAGAAGAAAAAAAAAGTGAAAAAGGGTTGGAGATGTAGCTTAGTGTGAAGGCCCTGGGTTCATTCTGAGAGAAAGAGAGAGAGACAGACAGTTGCCTACAGCCTGATTTCAATGGGCCTGTGAATGCTAGTCAGGATGTGTAGTCTCTTCCGCTCTCAAAGGCTCAGGACAGCTGGTGAGCATGTCTGAGGGCGAGGCAGGAATTACAGGACTGGGTCCCCCACCCCCCAAGCCCCACTGCTCACCTGGAGCCCGACGCTGTCCGCTTGGCCACCTTTGATGAGGTGGGAGATGAAGAGCCCACAGCCAAACTCCAGGCCACCACGCACACTGAGGCCGAGGCCTTCGGGGTGCAGACGATCCAGACGCACCTCCTTCAGCTTCCTGCCACAGTGTGTGTGGGGTGTGGTCAGTGAGACCCCGGCGTGGGCCTGACAGCCAGCACTGCCCTGCCTGTGAGTGAGGAACTCCGTCCTCTCCACCCCTGCCTCTAGCCTGCTGGGTCCCTTGGTACCTAGAGCGCCGTGGGGTCAGCTGGTCATATTCCACCTGGTGCTTCAGCGGGATCAGGGGCCGGATGGCATCAAACAACGGCAGGCGGCTGGGCTCATTGATGACCAGCTTCAGGTCTCCCACAAGCACTGCCACGTCCATGGTTCTGCAGAGACATGGGGGATGCCTGCAGCCTTATCCTTGGACACAACCTCTCTTTCTGCCTGGGATCCCACCCCAGGGGCCCGGGCCCAGGTCCAGAAATTAAGGACAATGCTCCTGAGAAGCTCGGAGCACGAAACTCTGAGCCTTGGAAAAGCTTTGGTCTCTTAAGTAAAAAATCACAAGGAAACCAGCAAGCTAGGGATGGTGAACATATTCTGCAGATGAAACCAAGCCTGGATTTCAAACTCACTGTGCCTAGTTCTGAAGCCCAGAACCTTTCCAAACAGGAAGTCTCCATGTAAGATCTTGACGTTCTGTCTCATACTCTTATCTCCCAGGTGGATCTGCTGCGATGCCCTGTGAGCCCTGCCCTCAGTGTATTCCCATACGCCTTCGTGCCATTCAGACCCTCAACATCGCCCATTCTCATCTAATCTTTTTTACCTGCACATCATTTCCCTTCTCAGTATCTCCCTACTGCCCAGAGGGAAAAATCCAACCTCCTTGGTAGGTTCAGGGCCCCCATGATCGTCCCCACGGACTTCTGCTCCCTTGTGGCCTCTCTGTATATTCCAAGTCCTATCCCAGCCCCATTATCTATTCTTTCCCACTCACACCTATGCTTCCAGGATTCTGCACTTTTGCTGATGCTGAGCCCTTGTCTGGAATGCTCTTCCCTGCTAGTCCACCTACAACCCTCTTACCCTTGATAGCCCAGCTCACGCCTTTCCGCACCTCCCTGCACCCATGGAAAGAAGTGAAAACTTCTCTCGGCACACTCCTGCTTTTACCTCCACTCAGCTGCCATTTCATCATAACTAACTTACATTAGGGCTCTTGGTGTTTCTAGTCTGTCTGTCTCCTTCCGCCAGGCTGTGAGTAACTCAAGGAGAGAAAGTGGATCTTACTCATTGCAGATACTGCGATTTGCTTGCCCAGCATGTAAATGCATGCTGAAAGAATCAAAAAGCAAGTGCGTGACCAGAAACATGTGCTGTAGCAGCTGGGGCCAGCTGGCATTCCTCCTTCTGTCCTCAACGTCGTGCTCTGGTGAACCCGTCTGGGTACTCGACAGCCTCTCCCACCAGGCTGTGAGCAACCTGCAGGCCGGGGCTAGTCTGTCTTGCTCACAAACGTCCCCTTTTTGCTTAGCACAGGGTCGAGCACAGAGTAGGTGTCATCAGCTGCTGAAACAAGTGTATGGTGTGTGCATCTGATTCCCAGGAGCATCTGCTTCCCTAAAGGCTCTTCCCTCTGGCTCAGAACAGCTCATGCCAGGGTTCCCGGAACACCCCCGCGGGAGCTGGACCCAGTGCACTCACTGGTGGTACATCCGCAGCACATCATAGAGGTAGTCCTTCTCCGCATCATTTTCAATCAGGAAATCCACCTGGAAAACCCAAGGGCAGAATTACGCACGTGGCCCACGTGCCCACCGTGGGCTCAGAGAGGGGAGGCGCCCACCCACGCCAACTGCCCCACCGCTTCTTACGGCTGAGGGCATGAGGACAGGGCGGAGGCCAGGGGCCGGGCTGCTGGATAGCAGACCTGCACAGGGCACCCCAGGGTGGCCAGAGGAGCACTTCTGCATGTCTAAGTGTGGCCAGGCCGAGCCTCATCCCCAGGTGATGACAGGTGCACCACATGCAGGGATGCACAAACATATGTGCCCAAGTGAAGCCCATGTGACTGTGACACACCCCTGTGGCTTTGCTGCTGCTCACCCCGTACCTACATCACCTGTGTCCAGGAAGTGCCCACTGCCTTACCTGATGGTGGCTGTAGTGCCGGATACACGCTTTCAGAAAGGATTTGGGCCACTCGCTCAGATAGCACATCCTCCCTGCCAGAAGCACCCTGCCACCGAATTCTTCTGTGACATCTACGTCGGGAGGACTCTGCCTTGTTCCATCCTGGCCTAAGCTGCGTTCTGTCCACTAGTCAGCCTCCTGGCCACTCCTTTCCCCTTCCCAGGTCCCTGTAGGCTCCCCCTTCTCCTGAAGGTCAGGTTACATCATTTCAACTTTGCTGACGTCAGTGGCTGAGACTCCAAGGTCAAGTTCAGGGGCTGATTCATTAGCATCTCATTCTCAGGGGAGCTGGTGAGACAGGAGTCCCAAATTCTATTCTTCGGGACAGCTCGGTGTGAATCTCTCTGCCTTTTTCCTTGGTTCTCTCCTCAGCCCAGGACTGACTAACAGGACTAACAGAAGACTGACAGGACTAACTGACTAACAGAAGCTGGAGGCAGCCTCCAGGCCTCAGAGCACCGTCCTGCCCCGGCCCTTCACACAACAGCTCCTGTCAGACGTTTTGAGTTCCCACTACCTCTGCGGGTATCTCAAGGGGGTTGGAAGATCAGGGCCAGTCTGTCTGCTCCAACACAGAGAGGACTCGTGGGGCTCAGCCCGTGGGATTCCCGGCTTGAGTAGGAAATGCAGAGGTTTCTGGTTTTGAGCTGGCAGAACCGCTTTCCCCTAAAATCAGGCTGATTATTTCAAGAAAATAAAGTACACTTAAGAGACTGCCCTCCACCGACTCACAGTGGGTCATCGGCCCCTAGAGATGCCCTCTCCCAGGCTGCTGCAATCCAGGAATGCATGCTCCTCTCTACTTCACCGCAGGGGCCGCCCAGGGAGCCAGAAGATGGGCTGTGTAGAAGTGCAAGGCTGGGCTCTGGGCCACTGTACCACACAAGTGGGTACCTCCAGAACTGATCTCCACAAGGACACAGCCTGGACTCTCTACCTTGACTCAGCCTGCATGGGAGGGTGGGCAACCTGCATGGGAGGCGGACTCAGGATGCCCATATTAGCCTGTGGCAAAGGAGCTGAGCACACACAAATCGGAACGCCCCAGAGCCAGGAGTCAGAAATGCTTGCTCGCCCAACAGCTTCCTGTTGCCCTTACTGCCAAATCCAAACCCAAACCCTGTACCTTGATTTACGAGATCTGTGTCTCCTCTCCTGCCACTCTCTTGGCTCTTCCTTCCTGTCCAGCTCACAGCCAGACTCTCCAGCCCCAGTGCCTTGACATGTGCTGTCCCTCTGGCCCCAGTTCCATGTGACCCTGGCCTCTTTCCCGGAGAGGCCCTCCCTCCCTACCTACCTAAACAGAATCCATTTCTCAATTTCTCATGCCTTGCACATATTAAGCACTCAGTGAATGGCTCTGCTCCCCTCCTTCTAGTGTGCCCACACATTTCAGGTGGGAGGAGCCATGGGAAAAAGAGGGGAGGCCAATGACCCTCACAGAGCCCCCTCTCCCCACCGTGGTGGCACCAACAGCTTTTCCGAGGCTTTAATCCATTTGTTCACCCTCCGGGCCTGTGAGGCTCATGTCATTCCACTTTGCATAAAGGACCAGGGAGGTTGTCAGCACACCCCAGGCCCCCAGCTAACAAGCAGCATGAAGCTCCGAACCCAGGGTTGACTCCAAAGCCTCTGTTCTTGCTGCTGTGTTGCATCCTTCTCACGTGACTTGGGCCTTCCAGGCGCAAAAAACTCCCAAGACCCCAAATTTCCTACGCTTTGCTGTTAAGATACCTTTAATGCTCATTGCTCTCTTCTGTAAGGTTAAAAACAGTCTTTCAGGTCTGCCCACAATGAGCAAGAGGACAGAACATCTCCTAAAAGATCTTTCAATCCCTAAAGTCTTACTGTCTAAGGGATGCACAAAAACCCCCTCTGCTGTGGTTGGAGTGATTTTAATACTCTAATTCTAGCCGTGGGTCAGGACAGGAGAAAAAGACGGGGAGAGAATCTCTGGCTGAAGCCTCAGAACTGAGGTCCCCTCTGGTCCCCCTTTACAGACACACATCTCACTGCACAATGAGGCATAAGTAGGGATGGGCTGGCCTCAGAAAGGACAGCAGAAGGCAAGGCAGATAAAAGAGACTGGCTAGTTTAGGTGGAAGGTGAATGGACTCTTTTCCTGCCGTCCTTGGGCCCAGCACAGATCATCTGCAGACGCCTCTGTTCCAGGATCCTGGACCTTGTGTGCGGCTCTCCGGCTCTGACCCCAGCCCCCATCTGGAAGATGCAGCCTACCAGTCTCCCCACACAGCCTGCCGAGCTCAGCTCTTCACGCCACGGCTCTCACCAGGGAGGTCACTCAAACCCTCTGTCAGCCTGTATCTGTCGCTTCTGCAGGGTCACCTCCACCTCTGTCCACCTGGGACTGCGCCCGGAAACCCCTCCGCCGGCACACGGGGACCTCCCAGCCTCACTCAGCACGTCCCCTCTGCCTCCATATCCAACTGTTTACTTAAAAATCCTCTGTACACCAAACAGCTAGGAAAGCAGATCTGGTTTACAAGAACTGATCTTTGAATTAAATATGAATCTAAGTGATAAATCAATAGGAGACCTTGCACACGGAGGGACCATTCCCCACCCAGAAATGTCTCCAAGGAGACTCAGAACACAGCCCGGTTTTGTTCTCTGAAAACACACACTCACATCTTGCTCTATGGGCTTTAAAAGGTACCAAACAAGAAAACAGAGATAGAAGTCCTCTGGAAGCATGAACATGGAGTAACAATGCTACTATTATTTACACTACATTTTAAAAAGGTATTTTAAAAAGTTATACACAGTATCTTCTTTTTCTAACACCACCCCAAGAATCAGCTCTGGGAGGCCCTGCCGTGGTGCGTGTGGTACCCTTCTCAGGGACACAGAAAGCGTCCTGCACACAGTAGGTCTCTGACGTTCATTTCTTTCCTCCTCTCTGTCATGATCTTTGCTTCCCTGTAGCACCCGGCACTCATAGTTGCACAGTGCTTAGTGTCTCTGCCGAATGATATGAACCCCACTCATTCAAGTCTAGAGCCTTCCTTCCAGCCTCCTGGCCCAGCCTGGCCCACCACCTTCTGTGTACCCCTTAGCACCTAAGCCACAGCTCCTGGGGGCTCTGCCTCCTCTTGGTTCATTTCCTGCTTGTGAAAGAGGAGCAGGTCCTAGACCCATGGAAAGTAGACTGTCTTCCATTCTTCCACCTGAACCATGCCTCCATTTAAGGGGAGGTCCAAGCCACTTCTTCTAGAGTTTTTCTGACCACACTTAGCCCAGAGCCTCCTCACCTGGCCCCCAGCCCTCAGCTCCTCTTGTCCAGTTGCTTGTTCATCTGGGCCATAACTGCCTAGTCTGAGGAACTTTACAGGTATTATCTTTAATCTCCCAACAGCCTGAACGGGTAGGTGGATGCTGTTACCCCATTTCACAGATGAGGAAACAGAGGCTCAGAGGAGTGGCAGAGCTATACCAGCTGGCTTCAACCCACTACATGGTATACACTTACCATACACATCTCCTTTGTGTGCAGTTGTCCAATACACATTTATCGAGCAACTACTATGTGCAAGCCACTAGCCTTCCTTTTCCAACTCGATTTAGAATGCTTCAGCTTTTCTTGGGTCTCTCTTGATGTAGGGCACAGGAGTCCTAAAGGAGCTCACCATTTACAAATAAAAGTGTTGGAGGTCTCTATCAAGCCCTCTCCCCGCTTTCCGTGCAGCACTGGCCTCTTTCTCTGGCTCATGCTCAGCGGCTACTTGCTGTGGGCTGTGCAGGTGGGAGGGAGCATCTCGGCTGTCGCCAGGTTCAGGCCCTCTGCTTGGGGGCACTGCAGGCAAAATCTGAGTTTAGCTTTGGAGCCCTTTCAGCCCCATCTCTTGGATTCCCCATGGGGATCAGCCTCTAGAGCAGCAGCACGGGGCCCACACATTTAACTCATGCAAATTAAGCTTTATGTGTGCATCTAGCCCAACAGGGAGAAAGAGTGAAACCAAATTAAATAATGCATGTTTTTCCACTCCATGCAGCCTCCTCGGGCTGTTGTGGGGATTAAATGGGTGACATATTATAAAGCCCTTGGGAAAAGCTCCAAAATATGTGCTGCACCTTTGCCTTTTGCACTCCCTGCTTCAGACCCCTCCCCCAGCCTCTGTACCCCTGGAAATCTGCGGGAGCCGTGCCAGGCTCCCATGCCCTCTGGTGTCACGCTATGTCCTGTCTGTGGGAGCACAGGCAGGGTTTGAGCAGAGGGAGCAGAAAGGGGCGGAGGCTCATGGTCTGCAGGACCATGGTGGGCAGCTTCTTCACCCTGAGGTGGGAGCCCTGCCTGGGCCTCCGCACAGCCCTGTCTTCCCCTGCGCCTGGACCCCCTCCCTCTGGCCCTTGCAGGGCTCTGACTTCCTGTTGCTGGCTCTGGTGTGTGTCACCAGGTCCTGCTCTATCCCTCCCCCAAATCTATGGTTTCTGCCTTGGTTGAGCCGCTTGCTCCCTGCCTGTCTCTGGCGAGCACTAAATGTAGGCCATTAGCAGTGGGGAGGCGGGGGGAGAGGTGGGCACCTGCAGCACCTCCTCTCCCTTCCTTACCTCTTCTTGG